GACCGATAGTGTTCAATTTTGAGTTATTATATCCGGGTATGTTTTTATTGCACTGGCAGTATGTTTGGGATCATTGTCATGCTTAAAAACCGAAGCCTTTGCCAATCAGATACTTTCCAGATGATATTAATTGGTGGATCAAACTCTGGTAGTACTTTTATGCATTTCAATTCCATCAATTCTGATAAGATTGTCAACACTATTGGCAGAAAAACAGCCCAAACCATGACAGAGCCTCTACCGTGCACTACAGATGTCTTTAGGCACTGTTATACCTCCCTCCTGATATCCTCTGTACATACCTGCTCCCACCGATTTTCAGTGCAGTTCTTGTGTAGTTTGGCATACCTCAGCATTTTCTGTTTCCCTTTCTTAAGAGAATAGTCACTAACAGCATTTCTGATGCAGCACCCCTAGACACCTAGCCTGTTACTAATCGCTTTGCTTTTATTGAGAATTACCGCAACACGACTTTTAAAGTCTATTAATCATGTTTTAAATAGGAAGTAATGTATTAACCAACTTATACTAAAAAGAAAAACTGGACAAAGGCTGGTGAAGGCACGACAAAGCTCTACAACACTGTTGTCATGTTGTCAGAAGTGCTTGTTAGAAAAATAACATTGAAAATAATTTATAGAAAATTAACTCCAGTAAATCTGGTAACAAAAGAATGATACAGAATGGTAAAGCTACAGTAATGGGCTACAATATTAACATTGTTTTCTCTTCTTCTCTTCTTGTTTCCATCAAGCATCAAGATGGTTCTGATGTGGACCAGTGGTGACACCTTTAAAACGGGGTACTTCCTCCTCACCCAGGCTCCGGTGCAGTTCTGGATTTGCGGCCTGCTGCAGGTCTTCGTGGACATCACCATCCTCTTCCAGGTTTACTACTACAGCCGCTACCCGCAGAAACCAGTGTCACACACAGTTTCTCACACCACCAGTGCCAAAGCCCTCTGAGAATATCGGCATAATCTCTGAGGACACTACAAAGCAGCAGTGAGGAAGGCCTTATCGAGGCACTGTGGAAATGTATAAACACACACGCACCAAAGCATCTTGAGATGATGCAGGCTGCTGCTCCCCCTCACCTCCTAGTATAAATGAAGACTCCAACGCACTCATAAATAAGGCAAAGATACACAGACACCAGGTGGTGGCAATGTCTCCAGTGATACCCGAAGGACACTTGTTACACACAACGTCAGGCTGTTTTATTTATTGTCCTCTTGACTTATCAAAGCGGCCCAATGCATGCTAATAGGAATGCAAACGTCTCTGAGAATACACCTTGAGTCATCCTGTGCATGTGGAGAATATTATGCACACACAGCAAATGAACATCCAGCGTATGCAAACTGCAGATGCACGCACTGAAATCAGTGCTCAAGGAAAAGTGGACCAGCTCGTGTCGTCCTCAAGATGAATGTTGCTTGGAACTTCTGCCTTAAAGCACCCACATTTTCAACATGGATTGCTGCATTGCCAGTAATGTGTTACAAATCAATCAAAACAAAAAAAAGAAATGTTAATATACAGCATTGCTGAATGTACATTTGTTGTTGTTTTTTCCCAACACAGTGGAGGAATGCCAGTCAGTCTCCTGCTTGTTGGACGACATATGCTGTCATACTCAATCTTGCACGACAAAAATACAGAAAAGCAAAGTCAATCTAACGTCACCAAATGAAGAAAACTCCTCACGTTTGGTCATGGATGTGAGTGGCCTTGAGACTAGCAAAAAGATGAGCGACTTAGCCTTTGTAAGCAAATGCCAAGACTTTTATACTAAAGCCCTTGACGACATTTTATATATATTTTCATCATTTCCAAAACGTCCTAAATAAATGCTCAAAGATGTGTTAACATCATTAAACTTATCCTGCGAGCCTACAACTGCGCTTCATAAAGGTAAAGGAATAATTTAAGCTGCCAGCATGATGCAGCCAATTTTCTATGTCTGGGACTAGCAGCTGAATCATAGCTCGAGGCGCTAGTTTAGCTTCACGTTCAGTCTGAACTCATCTTTATGATGACGACCGCATTTAAAGTCGCATCATGGGCTTAATTTAGTGATGTTTGCGGCTTCTGTTTCATTTTGAACATCATCCTACATTCATGCTATAACTGCAGGATAACAAGAAGCTGTTTTTCTGTCCTGAATTGGATCATGTTTTATTCTAAGGCCTCGTGACAGCTTTGCATTCACCACAATAGACTAGATTTTCTGTTTCTATTGTGTTGCAAGCAAGTCTCGCCAACTGACGGCCAGAAGCTGAGCGCTCTAAAGCTTTTTCAAATTATATTATTTTTACATTTGCTTGCAGCTTGATGCCAATATTTCACTGAGACTTGTGTGACAAAAAACAAACAAGAACACTCAGAAAGCGCAGCTCCCTCCGAAGAGCAAGGGCTAAAATGTTGTTATTACAATATGCTGACGTCAGCCTGTTACGGCATCGTTGTGAGGTGTTATAGTGAAAGAAATATGTGCGTTATACAGCTTTCTCCATGTCTTTTTATGTGATAAAGTATGATATGGTTTCAACAAACTGGAATCTGGAGCGGGCACATCCTGTTACAGCACCACGTTCAAATTCATCAAGCTCTTTAGACCGATCCATTCTTTTACAAACGTGTAAAAGCACACGGCGTGGATAGGTGTTTGATTTTGTACACCTGTGGTAATGGCACTGAACACACCCGAATTCAAACGTTACTTTTGTCCATATCGTCTATCTTGCTGTGGCATTGAGATCCATCGATCTGCGCTAGACTGTGATTGTATAAAAAAGACAAACTTTGTTGAGTTTGTTGATGACCACTATCAGGAGGCTGCTGCTAGAAATGCTCTGCTGCTGCTTGTTTCCTTCCTGAAATCCTGAAATCCTGAAATGAATCATGGATGCCCTAAAGTGGCTCGTGATGCTGTGCCATTCCTAATTGTACAATCATAATCCATAACATATCTAAAAACTGAGCTACATCAATCCCACATAGCAAAATTGGTATGGCCCAGATCTGGCCCACACAATGGGCTTATACATGGCCCACATACCACAGAGAATGACGGCCCTTTGGTTTGCCAGAGGTGGCCCACACATGGGCCAGCACAAGGCCAGTTGCAGACACACTGATGGTCCTGTGCCAAAGGGCCGTCATTCTTTGCGGTATGTTGGCCATGTGTAAGTTGTGTGCAGCCACAGGCCAGTTGCAGACACACTGTCAAGCCATGTAATAACAACATGTGCTGGAACATGATAGCATGAAAAGAAATATGACAAAACTCTGTTCATACAGTGAATGGACTAATTCTGATATAGAGCTTTTCTACTCTCCCGGATTACTCATAGCGCTCTATACAGCATGACACATTCACTCTGCCATGACACCAGTTAGTCAGAAGTGCTAGCTTGATGCCGGATCCAGGGAAGACCTGTTTTCTATGAGCCTGGGCCACATAAACCAAGCCACAATCGGGCCAGATGTGGCATGCCATCACATAAATAGTGCCATCTACACCAGGCCTGGCCCATATCTGAATGACATACCACTTACTATGCCAGAAGTCAGCCAGCAGTGCCGGCTTGACACCAGATCTGGCCCAGACCTGTCTGCTATGTGGGATGATTTTAAGCCATTCTGAAATAAACCAACAATGACATAGAGCTTCATAGAGCCCCATTCATTCTAAATTATTTCACAAGTAGTCCCTATGAAGTCAGAGCTCCCATGAATGGGAGTTCTCAGTGTTATTAGAATTTTTTCTTTTTTAAATGTTCGGGATTGACCAGTAAAGTGTAAGTGCACAAACATCATTTCGCTCCTTACAGCAATAATAACGTTAAATACATTTTATGAAAAGGTTTTTATGCAGGACCAAGTCGATATGTTCTGTGAGCGGTGTTGTTCACAAAGCCCAAGCTGTAATAAACTGGAATTATGCCTTAAAGAGATGAACTTCACAGACTCACAGTTCAGAATTTGCTCAGCTAAGATCGTACCTCTTCCTCATATTGGCTGCAGAAAGCACTGACTGGCCAGTTTATCATTTATGACAAATCCAATAACATCCTTTAATATCCCCCCTGCTCGTGACCCCACATCATTGTGAGGTCCTCTGTGAGGGCAGGTTCTACTCATCATTGTTTTGTCATATGAAATTCATTTCCTGTTAAACGCAGAGGCAGCCACATGATTTTTTTTTTCCTTTGTGTTACTGTTGTTGTTTTGTCATTTCTCTCTGAGGAGGAATGCCGGACCATAAGGTGCACGACTGTCAGCCCTTCAGTGATCTGTGTACCACAGCAGACCTGTCCTCGTCTTCAAAAAGAACAAAACTGCAACAAAAATAAACCTTTGTGTTCTGCTGAGAAACGACTATTCTCTGCTTCTTCTTTTTATAAACACGTTGGGTGAGAATCGGGTACTGAGGGATCGGTGGGGGTATTTTTTTATGTTTACATCTTTTTAGCTTACGTATTTATTTTGTCCTTTTTTATATTAACTCTTCAGGTGCCAGTGTAAGATTGCCTGTTCTCTGTCCCGACAGTGCTGAGCCCGAGTGTGTTGTGCGAGTTAATGTGAGATACCTGACAGGGTCCTGTTGTGCGAAACAAGATTAAACTGACCTCGGAGTTCCACTTCTGTGACTGTTTCACTGCACGTGATGATTTATCTTTGTTTGCTCCGTGTTTTGTATCTTTTTGCTCATTTGTCATGTGAACATGTTTTCATGTTTTTGTTTGTTACTATACCAAAAATATCATTCTGTATGTATGTTTATTATGTGTTTTTGTTTTTTTTACCCTAGTACAGCGATTTATGTCTCTATTTTTTTTATCCATTTTCCTTTTAAACTGGCCACACACCTGTAATTCCTGAGGCTGTTTAAACCCACCCAGTATTGTCAAGCATTTAATGTGGCATTGTCCCCCAATAAAAAGGACTCAGACAAACTCTTGCGCCATGTCTTTACTTATTGTTTTTTTTTCCTTTTGATCGAGATGTTTTTGGGACTTGTGACGACATCCGTCGTTGCTCTGATCAACATTGTCGCTCTGGCAGGCATCAGTTGTCAAAGGAGGTGTAAGCCCACCAGCCGTGGTCCTTCTTTGGGCTTTGGGCATATGCCATCTGAAGCAATAATAGAAACATAAATCGTAATGTGCTTGGCTTTCCACACGGAGCTCTCTGCAGGCACAGAGAGGAGGCACAACAAAGATAAGAGTCACCAAACAAAAAAGGATCAAAAAGATGGATTTGAAAAAATGTTTTCTAATCCAGATTCACATTCAAAATGTGTTCCTATTTATGCCTTTCACTGCACCACATATGTCTCTCATAGATTAGGCCTGATTCATGCACACACACATATGTACTGTATATATAAACTGAAATGACACATGGACCATAACTGACAGAAATGTGTTTGAAACTTATCTAATTTAAACTCAAAGGTCAGGACCTCATACACACAGGCCTGGAAATAAAATTCTTTGTTTTCAGTGCCTCTGGAATTTGAGTGAATGTGAGAGAAAGAGGCTTCCCTTTGTGATAAATACTGAAAACATACGAGGCACTCACTTTTGAAACTCCTCTAGGGCTTTGTGTTGTGAACGTTGTCGCATCAAACCTCTTCACAAGTGCACCTCTGCGTCAAACCGCCACAGACAGGTGGCTTCTTACCAGGGTACTCCTCTAAGATTCAGTTTATCTGCATGGAATGAATATATTTTAAACAAAGTGACTGCGCTGCTTCACAGAGAGCCACTCAAGAGCTTTTTGAATGTGAGTGGTGGTGTTCACAAGCAGCATGGCTATTGTTCAGTGCTGGAGATAACAATTGGCCCAGGTATTAGAATGCCTAAAGAGCAGTAATAGGATATAAAGTGGGCCAATTATGGTTTTCCTATACTGTTACAGTGGTAGATGCTCATTTCAAACAAAATGACAAATAATGAAGTTTGCCTACTGACAAGTTGTCCATATTAGCTGCAATCTCAACTGTCAGACTGCTTTAAAGGCACTGTTTCCAACCTTTTCTGTTCTATTAGACTATTAGCTATAGATTATAGTTTTTATAGATCTAAAATATGGATTGGACATCACTGTGACATCACCCATTAGTTTTGAAGCTTCTACTTTAGTGTTTTGACCACAGTCATGTCGAATTTTTTGGGACTGATGAAAGGTGGAATGCTAATTTATCAGTTAATGTTAGCTAGCTTGTTAGCAAGCTGTATTCTTGAACGGTATCAGTGCAGCACACAGAAAGCACCAGGCTAATAAAACATGAGACTTTTACTCACCAAAACTGAAGCCCAAATTTCTGGGATGGTCAGTTAACAAGACAATCGGTGATGTAGTAGCTCGTCCGCAATCGCTCTCAATTCACAGGTTATTACAACCAACTGGTTAAACTACAGGAATGTTTATGAGACATAAACCCCTGATTGACCTCTAATTTCCTACTTCTAATTTCAGACAAACCTGAGGATATTATGTTAAGCTTTATAGTTTATGTCTTGCATATAAACACAACCATATCCATAATCACATACTGTGTATGCTACCATTGTATATAGTGTATTATCTTACTTATATTATATATGTATGTATTTTATTTTAATTTTTTTGTATTTTCCTTCTGATATCTGTACCTGAGCTGAGGTAACGCAAAAATTTACCTGTCGTGGGATCAATAAAGTCTCATCTTATCTTATCTTATTACCTTGGCCTCCAGTAACACTGTGAGAAATATTGGAACCATTTTAATGTGCATATCAAACTAGTATGTAGGACTGTTTTCTTCAATTTACACAATATCTCTAAAAGTAGAAACATCCTGTTTCAGAATGATGCCATAAAACTAGTGCATTTATAACGTCTTGCTGGACTACTGTAATTTATTATTATCAGGCTGTCCCAAAACTCCCTAAAAAGCCTTCAGCTGATCCAAACTCTTACAGTGAGTACAGACAGGGACAACAAAAGAGTATATTTTGCACATATTGGCTCCTCTTTGCTGGCCACCTGTTAAATCCAGAAACAACTTTAAAATCATTGTCCTAAATTAAAAAATCTTAAAGAGCTCATGGTACTGTATCACCCCAATAGAGGACTTTGCACCTCACACCACAGGCTTACTTGTGGTTCCTAGAGTATTTAAAAGTAAAATGGGAGGCAGAGCCTTCAGCCCTCACAAGAGGCCTCTCCAGCGCTGGCTGGGGGGGCCTTTTGTAAATTTTTGCCCCTGCCCCAACAGATTCTAGAATCACCAACTGGCTGCACTGTAAGACAAATAAATCCATTGAAAATGATGAACATGACCTCGCCATTGACCGTGAGCACACTATGAGTGACGACCCATTAGGTGATTATTGTGTGCAACTTTGATTAGAGCGATCCTTGAGACTTGTTGACTTGATCACGTCCCTAACTCCAGTATCCAGGTCGATGAGTTATGAAAAAATTCACTCCACTTATAGTTTTTTTTATCAAAGTGGGAACTACCCAAAGAGCCATGGAAAAGGTACTGGGCTAATTGCAATATATACAATATCAACCGTGTTTAGAAACAGCGGCGCTCACCATCACCAGGTTCTGTTTGCAAAGCCAGGTGAGTGGCAGCCAATCAGAAGGAAGACAGACAGGAGCTGCTTGTTACTGGACTACGGCATCACACAGTGGTCAGCGAGGTCCCATTGTGAAGCGTCAAGCTGAGTGTTTTCTGTTGCTTTCGTGGTGTTTTCAAAGCAAAGATGACATGCGAGGGGTGGATCTGAGTGAGAAACCAAGGGAGACTGCACATTCACAGGCTAATGACTTGTAAATCACACGGCAAACAGAGCAGAACAGAAGTTTATCTGCACATTTAATCCCGCCAAAATCTTAATAAAAGGAAAAGAAGTACAATTATAACAGTATGTCATTTTTCTACACGATATAGAAATGCTGCTATAGTACATGAAATAAATCTGGACTCTGGGTTCAATTTGCAAGGAATAAACGTGTACAGACAAAGTCCTGGTAGCTCGTTGTCCACACCCGTGATCATAAAACTGAAAGTTTCTAATTACACTATAGAAAATCTAGTTAAAAGTCAAAACTTTGTATCTTCCTTAACATTTATCAAAGCATTCAGGTGGGCCAGATTGGAGTCTTTCTCAGACTGAATCTGGCCCACGGGCCTTACATTTGACACCCCTGTCACAGAGCACCATGTTGGTTTTCCCAAAGACATCTAACCCTCTTTTTTGCCACAAGACTTACCCTCATACCTGGTTTGAGAGACAGAATCCAGCTGGACTGGAGCTAAAATTCCAAACAGAGGCCTAAATCAACAATAGATGAAAACTGAATGAATTTATTATCAGTGACAGACCTGAAATGAAAACAAGAAGTCAAACCACAATCAAACCAGCCCTGATTCACGTACCTCGTGAGTATATCACATACAGCTCTGCAAGTTTGAGGAAGCACTTGTGTAATAAATTGTTTAAGCCTTTCACACGGGACTGTGTTCATTATCATTTTTATTACATTTTTGTCAGAGACTTCCTCAGGCTATGGATTTATGACTCAAAGCACAAACCCTTTTAAACTCAAACACACCATCTGCTCCTCATCAAAACTCTATTTCCATTAAAATATTATGTAGTAGTTTTAAGAGTGTTCCCTCTGTAGTATTTTCACACTTTTTAATGACATTTTTTAATCCAGTGACTGCAATCCAGGGCAAGCACGTCCTTGCAACCTGTACGGCCTTTTTGCAAATACCTGAAGCTAATTTGCACTTTCAAGCACGCTTGGACGCCTCCGGCTTGACAACAGTTTGGGAAAATGGTTTGCTGTGGTATCACTTCAAAGTACCAGGCACTCGAGTGGGAGAAAATGAAGAAAATGAAGCATTGTTTGTGGAATTACATGAAATCATGTGAGGGTGTAGAAATTATTTACAATAGCTGTTACTGCTTTTTTTAATGAAGCTTTCCCGGGATCTGTTGTTTAACTGCCTGAAGGTGGATGTTTAATACTTGTCAGAGTTAGTCAGCCTCTTTGAAGAGAAGAAAACTAGAATTTCTTTTGGGGAGTGTTTGCTCTCTAACAAACTTCATGTACTTATAAATACAGGTATCACTGGTGATACATTTTGTCACTTCTTCTCTTGAAAAAACACCAATCTTTGGTTCATAATCAGAGGCCTGTATTCTCAGCCTCACATAATTTCAGGTTCAACTCTGGGTGGTCAGTTGTGAGAAAGGTGGCTAAAAACTTAATAGCTATAACCTCTTACTGGGATCCACTGCCATGGCAACTTCTGCTTCACACCTTGCATGCATCGGTTAACAGATTAATGTCGCCTACTAACCAATCATTTTTGTGGGAAAGAAGCATCGCCATTTGTAAAAGATGTCGTCTTCAAGTCTCACATAGAAAAGCACAGATCGGCACATAGTACAGTTGCACAAATAAAAATATTTTTACTTTATTATGTTTGTGTGATGTTCATTGGTGGATTAATTTATAATATTTAATACATTTAAAGAAATTAAATTGAGTTAGGCTCAAAATAGCAATATTAATTCATTTGAATTCAACTATATTTCTATAGCACCAAATCACACCAACAGTTGTGAGGCGCTTTATGTTGTAAGGTAAAGACCCTACAATAATACAGAGAAACCCCAAATTTGACCACCCCCTATGAGCAAACACTTGGCAGTGGGGAGGAAAAACTCCCTTTTAAAGGAAGAAACCTCAGCAGACCAGGCTCAGGGAGGGGCAGGCCATCTGCAACCGTGTTGGGGGAGAGAAGGGCAGGGGATATTGGTAGATCTGAAAGGATACAACCTTCATCTAGGGAGCAAATTAATTTAGAATTGAAAATGTAAGCGTTAATGAAATATGCAGTTATAATTAACCTCCTAGGACCTGGCGTCCACATATGTGGACATCACATTTTGGGTTATTTAGACCAAAATACTCAATTTTGCTCTACAAGGGCCTGATATCCACTTACGAGGACATTATACTGCTACTGTTCTATCGAAATTTTAAACGAATATCCTCACATGTGGCTCTCAATCAGGTAAAAAAAAAATCCGGTAATTCTTTATTTTTATATTCATCGGGTCCCAATGTGCCCAAATATCAAGAGAAATTAAAAATGCATGCTGTGGAAGAGTTCGGGTCTTAGGAGGTTAATCTGAGATCTTGCTGTGCTGTAATGATGAGTTCGTGATACTGGTAAGCCCATTGACTGACCCAGTCGCCCCTTTTCCAGCCAGCTTTTCTCCCTATGTGTGTTTCTCCCGCTGTGAGTTATGTTCACACATTTTTATATTTATATTTCAGTTCTCTTCCTACTACACACACACACACACACACGCACACACACATTGCTGCTTTGAAAGCCACTTTGCTGCCAGTAGACCTGTCCATGTTTGTCACAGGTCAACAAGACCTTCTTCACGTGAATGCTTTTGTGGATAGATTGGGAGACCCTGGGTGGACATCTTCATGTGTCAGTGTTAGAGTAAATTAATTGAAAAACTATCCTTCATATGGACAAGAAATTGTGTCCAAAAGTTGTTTGTTTTTATTTATTTATTTCTTTTTTACTATAACGGCAGCTATTATAATCTGAGCTAAACATTAGTATCTTTAATAAACAAATACACAGGGAACTATACTCAGCTAGCAACAACCAAAAAAATCTTTGAAGGATAATAAAAAATCTCGAGTTTTTTTTCCAGATCTTTCAGATATATGATTAGAATGTATATTTGTCTAGATTCCAACTTTCAGCTGGTTCCCTTTTGTGTTCAGCTGTTGACCACCACAACACTAGCTCAGGATTATTATTTTTTCTTGCTGTGCACACTAACATAGCAGGCTTAACCCAGCCCTGTATTCAGCTGTACCTAATCCCAGTGTTGGTGTTGTACCAGAATCATCATAGTCAATGTCGGTCCAGTTTAGAAGTGACCAATCACATTGTTATGATGTCATAGTTTTACGACATGGAAAAATCTGCTGATGTTCACTCAAGAAAACATCCTGAAAAGGGGGCAGTTAAGTGTCAGGGTTAGGCTTCGGGATGTGATCAGGTTATAATTAGGGTTGTCTTTATGGTTATGAGGTGAGGGTTAAGGTTTGGTGTGTGGTATTTACACAAAACAAAATGGTTACATCACGACTGTGCAAATGATCACTTGCAATGTCGAACAATAGTTTTGATGATCCAGGAACAGCACCAACACATCGCATCAGATCGTGCCTGTATTCACCCCATTCCCAGTCTTTATGCTAAGCTAAGCTAATGTTTATTCTAGTTTGCTTTTTGGCAACACATGAGGCTGGTATCAGTCATAAGCATATACGCATGAACGATCAGACTGTGCTACTGAAGCATCTCCCTGTGCATCAGGCAAAGCCTTTTAATGGAGATGCCAATGTGGGAACAATCTTCCTGTCAGTTGCCAATTAAAACAACAAAACATCCCAGCAGACTGAAAAGCCCTCTGACGGATGAATGAGTGTTATATCATTATGTTGAGAGTAAATAGCTGTGTTCCACTG